AAAAAAAAAAAAGAAAAGAAGTTTTGGTATAGATGTGGAGAAATTGGAACCCTTGTACACTGTTGGTGGAAATGTAAAATAGATGTAAAATAAATATGTAAAAATGTAAATACAGCTAATGTGGGAAACAGTATCGTGGTTCCTCAAAAAATTAAAAACTAGAATTAGCATATGATCCTGCAATTCCTCTTCTGGATATACATCCAAAAGAAATGAAAGCAGTGTCTCCGAGAGATATGTGTTCCCCTCTTTCCACAGCAGCATTCACAACAGCCTGAAAGTGGAAGCAATGACGCTGAGACATCATCCTGAAGCCTTCTCCATGTCATAAACGAGGGTCAAGCAGGGGCCTGCGAGCTCATAGCAAGACTCAATTTCTCTAGACTTCCTAGCCTTCAAAAACAAGGATCAAGAGGGAGTCTCAGACACCCACCCCTCTTAACCCCAAACACGAGCTTGCCACTGCTATCTGCCTGGAGCTCACCAGGACTAATCTCATTATGCCCTTATCCCTGATTAAGAGTCACTATAAGAAGCCACAGACTCCGGTCATCACTACTTCCCTTGTATTCTAATCCCCATAAGGCTCTGAACATCCAGTATCTATCCCCCCAAATCCCAGCCTTCTTCGACTGAAAACTTAGCAAAATCTACATCTTCAACATTTCCTCTGATAGTTCCCTTGCCTTTTTGCTCTAACAGAACCCTACTTCTCCCTTGAGGACAGTGCTTCTCCAAACCTCTCTCAAATGGTTCTTTCCCCCACCCCCCCCCCACCTCCTATTCTCTGGCCATGGATATAAAGCAAATGTTCTCCTTCCTTCTTGTCTATTCTAGAACACTCCCCAACCTTTCCTCCTTTCTATCCAAAATCCTTCAGCTCTGAATCTCAAGAGACCATTATCATCACTACTCTCATTGTTGCTGCCACCTATTAACTCTAAATCATTTTCCCTGGTTTCTTACCCATTTCACTTCTAGCTCAAGTCATTTTCAACACCACTCTTGGTGATTACTGTATAACACACAAGTTTTTCAACACGCTAGCCTCTCTCTTCTTTGAGTTCCTTTCTTCCAATGCTTTTATTTGTCTTCCCTTCCCCTCAGTACTACTCACTCCCTTGGTTATACAGAACTTTTTGTTTCTAATAACTAACCTCACTGTAACTGAAGGTTCAAAAAAATCCTCTTTCTGGCTACTATTCATCTTTCTAGCTCACATTCTACCCCAAATCCAATAATCCTTATCCCAATAAGACAGATGCTCCTTTGATCCTACCACCTTTGCACAGTCCCTCACCCTGACAGCCTCTCACCACTTCTTATCTAGCTTAAGTGCCATAGTTAAGCAGACTCTGAATATCCACTATCTTGCATACACATTCAAATGCTGTCCCTGTGCCATTATGTTGCACTTTCTTGGCAAAACCACAACCAGCACCAACAGATGAATATGGATAGAAAAGACACAAACCATCCTGACTTAGATGCATGAGCCCGTAACTCCTCAGGGATACTCAGGGGTCATCCTATGGTGGTTCGATTCATTTGCTCTCCCTGATGATTGTTTCACTCCTTTCTCCTCAATCTCCAAGATACTCTTCCCCATCCCTTCCTCGGTCAGGACAATCTTCCACAGCTACCCACCTATCAGTATCCATATCCATATACTCTGCCTTTTCTTGGGTCCTTAAACAAACTACCTGAGCTGCTATCTAAAGTTAATTCCTGGCTCAGCACCTATGGCTCAAGCAGCTAGGGTACCAGCCACATACACCTGAGCTGGCGGGTTCAAATCCAACCTGGGCCCACCAAACAACGAAGAGTACAACCAAAAAATAGCCGGGTGTTGTGGCGGGCACCTGTGGTCCCAGCTACTTGGGAGGCTGAGGCAGGAGACTCGCTAGAGCCCAGGAGTTGGAGGTTGCTGTGAGCTGTGAAGCCACGGCACTCTACCTAGGGCGACAGCTTGAGTCTGTGTCTCGAAAAAATAAAAAATAAAAAATAAATAAATAAATAAAGTTAATTCCTACCTCTGAGAGCTATTATCTCCTGCCCTCTCATCAAGAATATTACTCCACGCTGCGTGTGGTAGCTTACACCTGTAATTCAAGCACTCT